GAAAATTTAAGGAGTTATTATTATGTACGTTTAGATGATACAACCGGTAGGATACTTTTGCACGTTACTGTAAGTCTCATTATAACGAATATTGCTTGACCCAGGCTTAAATGTCTTGTTATACCGAATCATGGATGCCTCCCCCGATACTTCGTATCTTATAGCGAGGTTCAACAGTACTGAAAATTTTGCATTAATAGTATTTTGGCAAACAATATTAATATAGTGCAGGAAAGTACTAGTCACAATTTCTGGTTTTCTATTCGTTGTTCTATAAACGTGATCGTATGAGTAGCGTGTGTAACGTTTGTTACACATGATAAAAAAAAGTATATTACTGTATGTCATGTGATGAGATCATCACGAGTATTCTAATGAGGTAATATGCTCATGAGACACCAACAAAGGTTCACATCACCAAAAAATTTAATCACGTATAGTGATATCACCACAACATGCATGTCAGCAATATTAAATATCACAAACCCATCACCACAAATCTCATCAGATATTTTTTAAAAACACAAGTTTCTGTAAAATTTGAAATGCAAAAGTATTGCTATCCCAGAAAGAAGTTGGCTTATTTTGAAATGCAAAGGTATCATTATCCCAGATGGGAGTTAACTCACCTTGGAATACAAAAATGTTGCTATCCCAAAAACAGGTTAACTCACTTTGGAATGCAAAAGTATCAATATCCCAAAAACAAACCGGGTAATGTTCATGAAAAGAATTTCAAAAAAAAGTGCAACGACCCGTATTGGCCTGTAAAGAGTTCGCGCCAATGGCATATCAGGTGCAATTTTGAAACAACTATACAAAACCGTAAAAAAAACCCGGTGGACATTGAAAAGTGGCAACCGTTGCATACAATAAGAATGTTGTTTAGGCAGACGTATAGACAAAACTTAGAGAAAGACAATAAAAGATATATACAGGCATTAGAGATGAAGAACAGGCTTATACAAAAGTTGAAAGGGGAGAACAGAAAGCATACACAAGCATTAGAAAATGTCACAGCAAAATTTATAGACTTGATTGAATCAAAAAGAAGAAAATTCAAGTAGTGAGAGCATGGCAAGACTGGTAATACTTGAATAACATTAAGACAGAATACATTTAGGCAGAATAAGCTTTATATGTGCAATATGCAACGTCTTCATTTATTTACTAACAAAGCAATAAGTTAATTTATTCTATAACAGCCCAATGTTACCCTAATTAAAAAACAGTTTTACAGAATAAATTACACATCAATTATAAATAAAGTTATACTATATAACCTTAGGGAGTACTGCTTTTGAGAAAATAGAGTGTCTGTTAGTGATTCTCAATTGGTTTTGAGAGCTTTGTGGGGAGCTTTTATAATGGCTTTTTCCCAAGTTAGTTCAATGTGCAGGCTTGGGATCTAGTGCTAGTATTCATGTCTGTATTTCTGGGGTCCCTTCTACCAGAAAAGGGCTATTTATCATAGAGTACATAGAGGAGTTTCTGGGAGTCATAATCATAGTCAGACATTTAGATGTCTTCTGATTGGTTGGTTGGGGTGCTCCAACCATCTTGCTGAGCTTCCTGGGTTGGGGTGGACATTTGTTGTGTGACTCAGTGGAGTCTGTCTGAATGGATGGGGGTAGTGGACAGGGGTAGGTTGTGCTACTGCCTTTGCATATGTTTTCTTGTTGTTTGGCTGTATTGGTGCTGTTGTCTTTGGGGGTGGGGCTGCGGTTACCCTTTTTGGATAGTCTTTTCTTAGATGTCCCATTTCAAGACAAGGGTGGGGAACCTGGCCAGAATACAAGTGTACCCATATAAGGAAATACATTACACATTTCATCTTGTTCACTTTTTATACATTTTATAATACTTTTTTGTAGCCCAATCCCCTAGTACTAGTAAAATGTGTTTGGTATGTGTAAACGACGATTTCGTAAAACGGCGATTTGATCATGTGATGCTGGTCCCAACGGTGTGACTGTAGGTAAGGTTGACTGTATAAGCACTTCACAATGAATTGCATATATCTTGGGTCCTCACACCCTTACAGTCACAGGTTTCAGGAGAACTGACGGTGTGACTATAGAGGGGGACGACTGTATTTTTTGCTGAATAAGTAAACCTGTGTGCGACGCAAAATTTGCGCATGCAACACAAAATTGCAAAGCTTCTAACTGGCTGAAAATGGTGTTGACAACAGCATTTGGTCTTGTGATCGTAACAAAATCTTGGGTAGTTGTAAAAATCCTGCATCGAAATTTTACTATTAAATTCGCTATAACAAGGAAATTTACTATTTAAAAAACGGGGGGGGGCAGAATTCCTTTGGCATAACGAAAATTCGGTATAACGAGGTTCGACTGATGGCTTTTTTTCGCCAGTTAATACCTCGAGTGCTACGACATTGTGTTGTTCGCTATACCAGAAAGGAGTCAACTTGTGTTCCAATGGGGAAAAACAAACACAATTACGAAATTGATGATAATAGACGCACTATAAAATTAAAACTACCGAGAAATTGCGGAAAAGTGTTTAAAGATCAGGTGGCATATTTTGAAAAAGTATTGGTAACCAAC